GGGGCGGGGTTGTGTGTCCACCACCATCACATGTCCATTGGGATCATTCACCATCATGTGTTCATGGGGGGCCACCAGTGTCATGAGTCCATGGGGGTCATCACACGACCGTTGGGGTCTATCACCGGTGTGTGTCCACGGTGGTCCATCCCCATTACATGGCCATGGAGTTCATATGTCCATGGGTGTCCGTCTCCACCACGGATCCATGGGCGTTCATCTCTATCGTGTGTCCATGGGGGGCCATCTCCATCACTTGTTTACGATGCCCATATCAACCCTTCCCGTGATGCTCTTGGCCTAACACACCCTTCCCATCATGCTTACCACCCAACCCCACCCTTCCCATGATGGTCAGCACCCGACCCAACCCTCCCTGAGCTGCCCACCACCCAACCCAACCCAACCCAACCCTTCCCATGGTTCTCTGTGTCCAGGTGATGCGTTGGGAGGGCTCCATGTTCCGGGAGGTGCAGCAGGTGCCGGCGCGGGGCTCGTTGGTCTTCCAACCATTGGCGCTGGCCGGACAACGCTATGTGATCCTGGGCAACGACTACGCCCCCAGCCGCGTCTACCGCCTTGGCCCCGGTGGGCACCTGGAGCCCGCCCAGGAGCTGTTGGCCCCCACGCCCCGTGCCTTTGCCCCCCTCTCCCTGGGTCACCGCCACTTTCTGGTGGCCTCCAGCTTCAAGGGGGCCACCCAGATCTACCGGCATGTCACCGTGGACTTGGGGGCTTGAGGGATGGCAAAGCGTCACATTGTGGTGGCTGAGGGACGTCAAGCGTCACGTCATCATGGAGTTGGGCACCTGGGGACATCGGACATCAAACATCACAGCATGGAGGTGAGTGCCTGAAGGACACGGGGACATCGACCATTATGTCATTGTGGATCTGGTCACCTGAGGGACCTGGGGACATCAAACGTCCTGGAGCTGGGCACCTGAGGACCTGAGGGACATGGGGACATTGGTCGTCATGTCACTGTGGAGCTGGGGGTCTGAGGGACATCAGACCACCTCATTGTGGAGCTGGGTGCCAGAAGGATGCTGGGGCATGGCCATGATGTCACTGTGGAGCTGGGCACCTGAGGGACATGGGGACATGGGGACATCAAGCATCACCTCACTCTGGACCTGGGTGCCTGAAGGACACAGAGACATTGGTCATCACATCACTGTGGACCTTTGTGCCTGAGGGATGTGGGGGACATGGGGATACTGTGTGACCCTGGACCCCGGTGCCTGGAGGATGTGGGGACATCGGCCATCATGTCACTGTGGACCTGGGTGCCTGAGGGACATGGGGACATCAATTGCTACATCACCATGGACCTGGGCACCTGAGGGACGCAGAGATGTCATGTCCACATGAACCCGTGTCCCTGAAGGGCATGGGGACGTGGGATCATCAACCGCTGTCACCATAGACCTGGGTGCCTGAGGGACACGGGAACATCAACCATCACGTAGTCATGGACCTGGGCACCTGAGGGACATGGGG